CTCTCTCTCTCTCTCTCTCTCTCTCTCTCCCTCCCTCCCTCCTCTCTCCTCTCTCTCCTCTCTCTCCTCTCTCTCCTCTCTCTCCTCTCTCTCCTCTTGCCATGTGATCGGCTTCCTGCTGCTTTCTATCATGAGTAGAAACAGCCTGAGGCCCACGCCAGATGCAGCTGTCCTAGAATTGTAAGCCAAATAAACTAGAATTGTAAGCCAAATAAACTTCTCTTCTTTATAAATTACCCAGTCTCAGGTATTTCTGTTATAGCAACACAAAACGGACTAATACAGCAAACTAACCAACTGAGCTAACAGGCCAGCTCCTGTAGATGCCCTTTATCGGATTGGAGAAGTTCCTTCTATTCCTAGTTTGTTGCGAGTTTTTATCATTAATGCATATTGGATTTTTGTCAAATGCTTTTGCTTCATCTATTGAGATGAGCATGTGTTTCTTTCCTTTTTTTCCCCTATTAATATGATGTATTATTTTGATTGATTTTTGTATGTTGAAGCAACCTTGCATAGGTGGGATAAATCCCACTTGGTCATGACATATAATCCTTCTCATCTGCAGGCAGATTTGGTTTGTTAGTATTTTGTTGAGAATTTTTGCATCTGTACTTTGAAGGGATATTGATCTGTAATTTTCTTGTGATGTCTGTCTGATTTTGGCATCAGGGTAATGCCGGCATCATAGAATGGGTTGGGAAGTGTTCCTTCCTCTTCTGTCTTTTGGAAGAATTTGTGAAAGATTGGTCCTAATTCTTTAAATGTTTGGTAGAATTCATCAGTGAAGCCATCTGGTCCTGAGCTTTTCTCTATGGGAAGTTTTTTTTTTTTTTTTTTTTTTTTATCTTTTTTCCGTGTCCGGCAACGGATCGCAACCCTCAGTGTTGCCCCCGTACCGGACCGGAGACCGGCAACGGGATTGCAAGCCTCTGTGTTGCTCCCGCGCCTCGCTCAGCCAGTGAGCGGGAACCGGTCTATATGTGGGATCCGAACCCTCGGACAGGAGCGCCGCCGCGCTTCCCAAGCGGCGCACTATCCAGTGCGCCACCGGGCCGGCCCTATGGGAAGTTTTTTGATTGCTAATTTAATCTGCTTATTTCTTATAGATCTATTCCGATTTTCTATTTCTTCTTGAGTCAGTTGTGGTATTTCATGTCTTTCTAGAAATTTCTTCATTCCATCCAGGTTATCTTAATTTGTTGATATACAATTGTTCACAGAATTCCCATATAATCCCTTTTATTTCTGTGAGGTTAGTGGTAATGTTCCCACTTTCATTACTGATTTTATTAAATTGAGTACTTTTTTTCTGTTGGTCAACTAGCTAAAGGCTTGTCAATTTGGTTGATCCTTTCAAAGACCTGACTTTTGGTTTTGTTGACTTTTTCTATTGTTTTTCTATTCTGTTTCATTTATTCCCACACTAATTTTTATTATTCATTCTTTCTAATAGCTTTGGGTTTTGTTTGGCCTTTAGTGTGCTCTTTTTCTAGTTTCTTGAGTTGGAACGTTGGATTATTTATTTGAGAGTTTTCTTCTTTTTTAAATATAGGTGTTTTCAGCTATAAATGTCCCTTTCAGCACTGCTTTTTCTGCATGCCATTAATTTTGGTATTTGGGTTTTCATTTTCATTCATCTCAGAAACATTTTATAACATTTCTTTTGATTTCTTCTTTGACTCATTAGTTTATTAAAAGAGTGTTTTTTAATTTATACATATTAGTGAATTTACCAAGTTTTCTTCTGTTACTGATTTATAATTTCATTCCATTATGGCGAGAGAACATACTTTAATTTTAGTCCTTTTGAATTTATTGATGCTTATTTTATGACCGAACATGTGATCTATCCTGGGAAATGTGCCATGTGTGCTTAGGAAGAATGTGTGCTCGACTGTTGTTGGGTGCAATATACAACAGATGTCCATTAAGTCTATTTGGCTACAGTATTGTTTAAGTATTCTATTTTCTTTTTGTTTTTCTGCTAGTTGTTCTACCCATTATTAAAAGTAAGGCATGAAGCACTCAACTATTACTGTTGAATTATCTATTTCTCCCTTCAATTCTGTCGATTGTTTTGTGGGTTTTTTGGCCACTAGCCAGTACATGGATCCAAACCCCTGTCCTTGGTGTTACCAACACCATGTTCTAACCAAGTGAGCTAATTGGCCAGCCCCAATTCTGTCAGTTTTTGCTTCACATATTTTGATGGTCTGTTATTAGATGCATAAGTGTTTATAATTATAATATCACTTTTCTATATGGAGACTTTTATTAATATATAATGTCGTTATTTGTCTCCTAACCTTTTTTTATTGAAAGATAATTGATTATACATATTTGTGGGGTACCAACTTGAATATCAATACCTGAGTGCACTGTGTGATGATCAAATCAGGATAATTAGCATATTCATCATGGCAAAATATAATTATTTCTTTGTGTTGAGGACATTTGATCGCCTCTCTTTTAGCCTTTGATAACATTTGGTAAGTTAGTGTTAATTATAGATGCCTGGCTAGACTTTATCACAATAGAACTTATTTTTCCTAACTAGCTATTTTGTGTCCATTAACCGATTTCTCACTATCCCTCCTCCCTCATTCCCACTTCTAATAACCACAAGTCTGTTTTCTCCTTCTGAAAGTTCAAGTTATTATGATTGTTGCTTCTTTCTTTCGGTTTCTTTCTATTTATTTATTTATTTATTTATTTATTTATTTATTTATTTATTTATTTACTCTCACTTATGAGTGAGAACATGCAGTATTTCTGTTTTTGTGCCTGGCTTATTTCATTTAACATAATTTTCTCCAAGCTCACCTGTGCTGCTGTGGCAGAACTTCATTCTTTTTTACGGCTGAGTAGTATTTCATTGTGTATATATACCACACTTTCCTTATCCAGTTGTCCATTGATGGGTATTTAGGTTAGTTTCAACTCTTAGCTATCGTAAATAGAGCTGTGGTAAACATAGGAGTGCAGTATCCCTTCAACATGATGATTTCCATTCCTTTGTGTATGTGCGCAGCAGTGGGATTGCTGGATAGTATGGTAATTCTGTCTGTAGTTGTTTGAGGAAACTCCATACTGTTTTCCATAGTAGTTGTACTAATTTACAGTCCCACCAGCAGTGTAGGAGTGTTCCCCTTTCTCTATATCCTTGCCAGCATTTGTTATTCTCAGTCTTTTTTGTTAATAGCCAGTCTAACTGGGTGAGATGAAACCTCAGTGTTGTGATTTGCATTTCCCTGATGCTGAGTGATGTTGAGCATTTTTTTATATACCTATTGACCATTTGTATGTTTTCTTTTGAGAAATATATAGAAACATATTATGATGAACGCTTGAAAACAAAAATGTTTTTAACTATCTGATTTAGAAAATTCAAAATTGTTATGAGATGTAGAAAAGAAATAAAGTAAGTTAAAAAACTTAGATCACAATGAGAAATTAGTTTTGAGCTTGATTTCAATCTCCCATGACAAAGTCTATCAAAGAAAATGAATGATAGTTACATATTTAACAAATTACACAATATATATATAATGATTATTGTACCCTGAAAGAATTATGTAAAGTTAATGTTTGATTAAAATATTTACATCATTGGTGCTTTGTAGACTGCTTAATAGCCTTTTTTTTTTTTGACTCTTTAAAAAGATCAACAAAATTTGCAAACCTTTACCTAGACTGACCAAGACAAAAAGAGAGAAGACAGAAATTACTAAAATCAGAAATAAAGCAGGGGCATGGTAGAGAGCAGTTGCTTCTTCTACTATACTGGAGTGGGCTTTGAGGAGAGATATATCCTCTTCTTTTTGCCATCTCTGCTGGTGACTCTCCTTGTGTTACTGCAGTCAGGTGTCTGGCAGGCCACCTGCACGGTAGCTGTGCCTACTGCTGTGGCATTGAGTTGCTTTTGTGGCAGCTGTGGCTGTGGCGGTGGCTGTAGTGAGCCACCTGCAAGGAAGTGGTGTTTCTGGCATGCTCTTTGCCTGTTTCCCAGGGCAGGAGTCAGGGAGAGATGCTGTCCTCAGTCCCTGCCTAAGGACCCCGAGCGTGCTCTGTTTCTTGCCTTTTTCTGGTCAGAGGGGGCTGGCCCTCAGCTCCTGCCTCATTTTCTTACTATTAAGTTGTGTTCCCTGTATATTCTGGATATTAATTCCTTGTGGGATGCATAGTTGCAAGTATTTTCTCCCATTTGGTAGTTGTTGTTTTTTTTTAAAGATGACCAGTAAGGGGATCTTAACCCTTGACTTGGTGTTGTCAGCACCATGCTCACCCACTGAGCTAACCGGCCATCCCTATATGGGATCTGAACCTGGGGCCTTGGTGTTATCAGCACCACACTCTCCTGAGAGAGCCACGGGTCAACTCTTTTTTTTTTTTCTTTCTTAAAAAATTAATATATAATGTCCTTCTTTGTCTCTTAACCTTTTCTGATTTAAGGTATATATTGTTTGATATTAGTTCAGCTCTTTTTGTGTATATTTTGAATGATATATCTTTTTGCATCCTTTTACTTTCAACCTATTTATTTCTTTAAATTGAAGTGTTTTTCTAATAGATAGCATATTGTTGGAACATGTTTTCTTTTTCTTTCCTATTCCTTTTTGTCATTCTCTGCTTTTTTTTTTTCTTCTTTTTTTAAGGATGACCGGTAAGGGGATCTTAACCCTTGACTTGGTGTTGTCAGCACCACGCTCTCCCAAGTGAGCTAACCAGCCACTGCTATATAGGATCTGAACACATGGCCCTGGTGTTATCAGCACCACACTCTCCCAAGTGAGCCACGGGCCAGCCCCATTCTCTGCTTTTCAATTGGAAAGCTTAATCCTTCTACATGTAATGTAATTACTGATATGGTAGGAATTATGTCTGCCATTTTGCTATTTTTTCAGTATGTCTTATGTCTTTTTTGTTCCACAGTTCCCAAATTAC